TTTGTGAGTATATTACCATTTATTCACATAATAAATTATCTTTTAAAAGGTAATGCACTAGGCCCATGAGCCCTCTGTTTGTTTCTTTGCAAAAAGTATTCAGACGCCTGCCTTTACACGCACATAAACCTTAATGGCATCCCAGTCTTAGTCCGTAGGGTTCAATATTGAGTTGGCCCCGCCCTTTGCAGCTATAAAAGCTTCAACTCTTCTGGGAAGGCTGTCCACAAGGTTTAGGAGGGTGTCTATGGGAATGTGTGACCATTCTTCCAGAAGAACATTTGTGAGGTCAGGCACTGATGTCGGCGGAGGAGGCCTGGCTCGCAGTCTCCGCTCTAATTCATCCCACCGGTGTTCTATCAGGTTGAAGTCAGGACTCTGTGCAGGCCAGTCAAGTTCCTCCACCCCAAACTGGCTCCTCCATGTCTTTATGGACCTTGCTTTGTGCACTGGTGGGCAGTCATGTTGGAACAGGAAGGGGCTATCCCCAAACTCTTCCCACAATGTAGGGAGCATGAAATTCTCCAAAATGTCTTGGTATGCTGACACCTTAAGAGTTCCCTTCAGGGGAACTAGGGGCCAAGCCCAGCCCCTGAAAAACAACCCCACACCATAGAAACTTTATTCGTCACTCCAGAGAACACATGTTCGGTGCTCTAGAGTCCAGTGGCGGAGTGCTTTACACCACTGATTCCAACACTTTGCATTGCACTTGGTAATGTAAGGTTTGGATGCAGCTGCTCGGCCATGGAAACCCATTCCATGAAGCTCTCTACACACTGTTGTTGGGCTCATCTGAAGGCCACACCAAGTTTGGAGGTCTTTAGCTATTTACTCTGCAGACAGTTGGCGACTTCTGCCTACAGTGAGCTTCAGCATGCGCTGACCCCGCTCTGTCATGTGACGTGGCCTACCACTTGGTGGCTGAGTTGTTGTTGTTCCCAGTTTCTTCCACTTTGTTATAATCCCACTAACATGGAATTTTTAGTAGCAAGGAAATGTCACTGATGGACTTTCACAGTACCACACTTGAATTCACTGAGCTCCTGAGAGCAACCCATATTTTCACAAATGTTTTTAGAAGCAGTCTGCATGCCTACGTGCTTGATTTTATACACCTGTGGCCATGGAGGGGATTGCAACATCTGAATCCAATGATTTGGAGAGGTGCCCCAATACTTTTGGCAATATAGTGTATCTCTCCAGGGGCCTAGGTCCTGGGTCTCCTAACATCCCTATATTCCAGCGCTGCAGCCTCTGCCAGTGTCTTCAGCACTGAACACTTTTGTGAGTGTTGGATGCCTGTGTCCCCACATCGAACGACTTGTCCCCATCATTTGGCCTCTGTCACTGCAGTCCTGTGACCAAGGAGACAGCAGATGGAACCATGGCATGCTGTCGAGGACACCGGCATTTGAAAAGTCTGGAATATTTAAGACACTGATGATCTTTTGATCTGACCACCCCAGACTTTTCACCTCCAGAATGATATGTGGACTCTCCCAGTAACAGACTAGGTGTCCTGCTCCCTACACTGGACAGTGTTGACTGTGTCACTCATGAGTAGAGATGAGCGAATCGAACATGACGAAGTGGAATTCGTTTCGAATATCAGGAAAAATTTGATTCGCGACGAATCCGAAAATTAGCAAACTTCGGATGCACGAATCGAATTTTCCCCGATCGGCCGATTTTCATCCCTTCTACAGCCAGCAAAAAGTGTCCCTGCAGAGAGCTCCGCTATTTCTGACAGTTCTCTGACAGTTCCTTCACATTTACAGCGGTTGAAACATTGTATCTATTTGTTTCCATTTAGGATACAGATGTTTTTATTCGGAAACAAATAGATACAATGTTTCAACCGCTGTAAATGTGAAGGAACTGTCAGAGAACTGTCAGAAATAGCGGACCTCTCTGCAGATACACTTTTTGCTGGACTGGAATTCTTCTTATTTTCATCCTACTTCTTCTTCTTCTTCTTCTTCATCCTCATCCTCATCCTCTTCTTCTTTCTCTTCTTCTTCATCCTCATCCTCTTCTTCTTCTTCTCTTCTTCTTCTACATCCTCATCCTCTTCCTCTTCTTCTTCTTCTTCTTCTTCTTCATCCTCATCCTCTTCTTCATCCTCATTCTCTTCTTCTTCATCCTCATCCTCTTCTCTCTCATCCTCTTCTTCTTCATCCTCATCATCTTCTTCTTCATCCTCATCCTCCTCTTCTTCTTCTTCTTCTTCTTCTTCATTCATCCTCATCCTCCTCTTCTTCTTCTTCTTCTTCTTCTCATCTTCTTCAATCACCATCATCCTCTTCTTCTTCTTCTTCTTCATCCTCATCCTCTCTTCATCCTCATCCTCTTCTTCTTCTTCACCATCCTCATCCTCTTCTTCTTTTCTTCCTCATCCTCTTCTTCTTCTTCATCCTCATCCTCTTCTTCTTCATCATCCTCATCATCTTCTTCTTCTTCTTCTTCTTCTTCTTCTCATCATCCTCATCCTCTTCTTCTTCTTCTTCTTCTTCTTCTTCTTCTTCATCCTCATCCTCTTCTTCTTCTTCTTCTTCTTCTTCCTCATCCTCATCCTCTTCTTCTTCTTCTTCTTCTTCATCCTCATCCTCTTCTTCTTCTTCATCCTCATCTTCTTCATCCTCTTCTTCTTCTTCTTCTTCTTCATCCTCATCCTCTTCTTCTTCTTCATCCTCATCCTCTTCTTCTTCTTCTTCCTCATCCTCTTCTTCTTCTCCTCACCCTCTTCTTCTTCTTCATCCTCATCCTCTTCTTCTTCATCCTCATCCTCCTCTTCTTCTTCTTCTTCTTCTTCATCATCATCTCATCTTCTTCTTCTTCTTCTTCTTCTTCTCCTCATCCTCACCATCATCCTCTTCTTCTTCTTCTCCTCATCCTCTTCTTCATCCTCATCTTCTTCTTCTTCATCCCATCTCATCCTCTTCTTCTTCTTCTTCCTCATCCTCATCCTCTTCTTCTTCTTCTTCTTCTTCATCATCATCCTCATCCTCTTCTTCTTCATCCTCTTCTTCTTCTCATCCTCATCCTCTTCTTCTTCATCATCCTCATCCTCTTCTTCTTCTTCATCATCATCCTCATCCTCACCATTCCTCTTCTTCTTCTTCTTCATCCTCATCCTCTTCTTCTTCTTCTTCTTCTTCTTCATCCTCATCCTCTTCTTCTTCTTCTTCATCTTCATCCTCATCCTCCTCTTCATCCTCTTCTTCTTCTTCTTCTTCTTCATCATCCTCATCCTCTTCTTCTTCTTCTTCTTCATCATCCTCATCCTCTCTTCTTCTTCTTCTTCTTCTTCTTCTCCTCACCATCATCCTCTTCTTCTTCTTCATCCTCATCCTCTTCTTCATCCTCATCCTCTTCTTCTTCTTCTTCTTCTCTTCTTCTTCTTCTTCATCCTCATCCTCTTCTTCTTCTTCTTCCTCATCCTTATCCTCTTCTTCTTCTTCATCCTCATCTTCTTCTTCTTCTTCATCATCCTCATCTTCTTCTTCTTCTTCTTCATCCTCATCCTCTTCTTCTTCTTCTTCATCCTCATCCTCTTCTTCTTCTTCCTCATCCTTATCCTCTTCTTCTTCTTCTTCATCCTCATCCTCTTCTTCTTCTTCTTCTTCATCCTCATCTTCTTCTTCTTCATCCTCATCCTCTTCTTCTTCTTCATCCTCATCCTCTTCTTCTTCTTCTTCTTCTTCTTCTTCTTCCTCATCCTCATCCTCTTCTTCTTCTTCTTCATCCTCTTCCTCTTCTTCATCCTCATCTTCTTCTTCTTCATCCTCATCCTCTTCTTCTTCTTTCTTCATCCTCATCCTCTTCTTCTTCTTCTTCTTCTTCTTCTTCCTCATCCTCTTCTTCTTCTTCTTCTTCCTCATCCTCTTCTTCTCCTCTTCTTCTTCTTCTTCATCCTCATCCTCTTCTTCTTCATCCTCATCCTCTTCTTCTTCTTCCTCATCCTCTTCTTCTTCTTCTTCTTCTTCTTCTTCTTCATCCTCATCCTCCTCTTCTTCTTCTTCTTCATTCATCATCTCCTCATCTCATCTTCTTCTTCTTCTTCTTCATCATCCTCACCATCATCCTCTTCTTCTTCTTCTTCTTCATCCTCATCCTCTTCTTCATCCTCATCTTCTTCTTCTTCTTCATCCTCTTCTTCTTCTTCTTCTTCTTCTTCTTCCTCATCCTCATCCTCTTCTTTTTCATCCTCTTCTTCCTCTTCTTCTTCTTCATCCTCTTCTTCATCCTCTTCCTCTTCTTCTTTTTCTTCTTTTTGTCTTCCTCTTGCAGGTCACTGCTCATGCGCAGATTTTTTATCGGCAAAAAATCGTCCGATTTGCCCACTATTGCCGCGAAAATCGGCCGAAAAAAATCGGCCGATTTTTTTTCCAACTTTACAGAAAAAAAAAAACGGCCAAAATACCGAAAAACGGCCGACCAAATAGCCCACTAACGATCCGAAAATCGGCCGATTTTATTTTCGGCCGAAAAATCGGCCGATTTTCGACCCATCTATGGCCTGCATTAGGGCCACAGAGACTTTAGGGCCACAGAATCGTTACTCAGGGACACAGAATCGTTACTCAGGGACACAGAATTGTTACTCAGGGACACAGAATTGTTACTCAGGGACACAGAATCGTTACTCAGGGACACAGAATCGTTACTCAGGGACACAGAATCGTTACTTAGGGCCACAGCTATCAAAGAATCGAAAATTTAAAGTGACATACACCCTTTTTTTTTTTTGGGTGGCTGTCGTGCACAGTTGGTGCTGCAGTTTGCCGATTGTGCAAAATAAACTGACTTTCTGCTTCACAACCACTATTGTACGTTCAAAGAGTTAAATCCATTTACACGCCGGCTGGCCTGGCGGTAATATTTTTTGGGTGATTAGTGCATTCCAGTGACACAAACGTACAGTTTCCAGCCAACGGCAAGCTGCAATTGACCGATTGTGCTAAATAAAAAATGACTTTCTGCTTCACAACCACTATTGGCCTTCAATTGAAGCTGCTTCTGCTCCGCCACTCTGCCATTGGACTCTTGATAGTCGTCTCCCCCCACACTGCTGCTGGGGGGACTTTTTAACCTAGGCTGTGTATGGCCTTCAATTTAAGCTGCTTACGCTTCGCCACTCTGCCATGGGCCCCTGTACCGTCTCCTCATGCTGCTGCCAGGCCCGTAATCTGTCATGGGGCCCCTGTACCGCCTCCTCATGCTGCTGCCAGGTCCAGAGTGTGTCATGGGTCCCTGTACGGCCTCCCATTGCTGCTGTCTCCATCGCCACACTCTGCCATGTGCCACTTTCAGGTCTCCTCACACTGCTGGTGGGTTCCATTTTTTCATAGGGTGCTGTATGGCCTCCCATTGCTGCTGCCTCCACTGCCACACTGTGGCTCCACACTCTGGTTTTGGCCCCGTGACTGCCCAAATGAGTGAAGTGTGCGGTGATTCTAAGATCGACGGCACTCATCTGCATGTCATACTGACTGACAGTATTATTTCTCTTCCCCAGCAGACTCCAAGGGCATTTAAATTAAAGGTACAGTGTTCTGCACTAATATAAAGGCTCTCTGAAGCCTAGAAACCCTTTTAATAAGTTAAATTCGCAGCGAATAAATTCGCATCGAATCAAATTTATTCCGCAAATTCGGCGAATCAGCCGAATCGAATTTTTGAATAATTCGCTCATCTCTACTCATGAGCACACTGTCTTTCCTAGAATCAAGATATTGTTCTGAGATTAACTCTTTTGGTGATCCCCACTTTGGACAGTCAGGGTTTTGCATGTGAGTGCACTTTCTTTCTTCCCTGCAAAAAAGGTCCATCACTGGAAGGTCCTATACTCCCTGCAGGGTAAACTGACAGAACACACTTTTACCCTGCTTCGGATTTCCCCTAAGTGAGATAGGGTAAGTCTGGAGGCCTTTATGGGTCTTGGGTACTGGAAGATAGATCTTCTTTGACTGAACTGTGGTCTTCTGAGGATGTCTCCTTTTTCTTTCCTAGGTGAACATTCTAAGTGCTAGTACTAGGATTCCTACTACTAGCTCCTTGGCAAAGGGTTCTTTACAGAGGTAGGTTGGATGATTCCTAGGGTCATATATATAATAACTAGTTAGGCAGGTTTGAAGAGTGGCTACCAAACCCTGAAATACCTATGGCTGTTGGTTGTAAGGACTCTTTTTATCCTTTTGGTCCTGATGTTCTTCTATGGCAGTTTGCATTACAATATATCATAATCTCTGCCTACCCTTTTCTACAGATGTAGTTGATCACCCCTTCCTCTCCTTAGGAAGGATTCAGGGTCAGTATGTGGATAGGTGCAGCGTGGTGTGCCGTCAGTAAGTACACAGTCTGGTTGCAGATAACAAGAGCTTGCATTGCAGGCTCAACTTTACAAACAGCCCAGCAGGGAGAGCACCATGCCAAGAAACACTCACAGTTCTATGCAGTTTGAAGATACAGCAAGTTCAAATGCACCAACAGCGTCTGTCTCAGATGGCAGAATTCATCCTGGCCCCCTTCCAAAAAGGGTGACATATCCCTAGCCTGTCACTACCCATCTGGAACCTCTCCCTGCTGCTAAACACTTTCACTTTAACACATGGGGGCTCTTTCTTTACACAATCCACTCTGCAAATATGCCAAAACCTGGGGAAAGGCACTCAAAAAGGCTCTGCTGCCCCAAGATGGCTTCCAGAGGTCACCTGAATGCAGTGTAGCCAAAAATACCATAGAGAAACCAGGTTTCTGTTGACTTCTTCTCCAGCTGCAGTACTGCTACAGTCGGGCACCGCCTACAGTGGAGAGAGCAGATTGTACCTGCCTACAAGTACCCTTCCCAGTTTAGGGTATCTTTTTTTTCCTTGCATTAGATTCTATACTGTGAGGACTCTCATGAATATCTCTTTAAGAGATAAGTTGTCGATCAGGTATATTATTTTGCATTGCACTTGTTTGGGTATTCTTTTCAATGTGAAATTTCACCACAATCATAAAGCTCTGGGGAAAACTCCCTTTTAAAGTGCAACTTCCCTTGCAAAGTGAACTGCCCATTTACCTTTACTAAATTGACCCCAGAGAGAGAGGATGGGACTGTTACTGAAGCTACTGAGCTGACAAAAAGCACATATTTAGCAGTCAGCATGGATAAGACCAGCACAATGCAGATTCTACTGCAGACTGGGGGTTTAAATGTGCAACAGAGTGATCAATGTGTCAACCCAAATAAATGTATTCAATTGAAAGCAAGTCAATTTTTCTGTGTCCGTTCTATAGCTGCTCTTACCTTTCTTTCCTCTCTGCTCTTTGGTTTGAGATAAAGATGTGATTGATGTTTGATGTCTTCTTTGTAGTACAGCTCTCTGACATATAACAAGTTTCCAGAGGTTCCCTAGTTTTTGTGTAAGGGCTCAGGAACAACAGATGTGCTAACATTCTTTTTTTTTTTTTTTTTGCATTTTCTAACAAAAGTATTTTTAATATAGAATGTTCATGCCTACAGTCATGGCAAAAAATCTTGTCCTCCTGCATTTCTGTCAGCTAACACACCACTTCACCCAGGAAATTGTTGCAATTACAAATGTTTCAACGTTCCCATGTTTATTTCTTTGGTTTGTATTGATATGACACAAAAAAGGGGAGAAACAAGTAGCCAAATCTGACACCATCCACGCAAAACCCCAAAAATGGACTAGACAAAATTATTGGCACCTTCAATTTAATATTTGGTAGCACACCCCTTGGAAAAAAATAACTGAAATCAATGGATTCTTGTAACGATCAATGAGTTTCTTACTCCCCTCTACTGAGATTTGGACTACTCTTCTTTTGTCCCAAGTCTCTCATATGGGAAGGGTTCCTTTTCAAAACTGCTGTTTTGAGATCTCTCCACAGGTGCTCTATGGGATTGAGGTCTGGAATGGACTGGCTGACCAGTTCAGTCCTCTCCAGTGCTTTATCTGAAACCATTTCTGGGGGCTTTTTGATGTGTGATTCAGTCATTGTCTTGCTGTAAGACCCATGACCTCTGACAGAGACCCTAATTTCTGACACTGGGCCCTACAATGCACAACAGATTTCTTTGGTAGTCATCAGATTTCATAATGCTATACACATGGTCAAGACATCCACTGTCTGAAATAGCAAAGCAACCCAAAAACATCAGTGAATCTCCACCATGTTTGACTGTAGGGACTGTATTCTTTTCTTTAAAGGCATCATTGCTTTTTCTGAAAACAGTAGAATGATGGGCATTATTTGACAGAAATGCAGGGACGTCAATATTTTTGGCCATGACTGTACATATTGCATTTTGTTGAACACGGAGCCTTGAGTTATAGTTGGAAAAAAAGGGATTCAGCAAAAGGGATTCACAAGTTTCAGGTCCAACTCCAACACCTACACCACCCCAATTCCCAGATCCTTGACATGGGTTCAATTAGTTATGGCAGCCATTTTATTACCCCTAAATAGAAATACCACAAATATCGACAAAACATCACAGAGGAACAGCAAAAAGAGATACCACAACACAAGTCCTCAACCATGTTAAACCACAAGGAAACTTTAAAACTGAAAAACCTCTGAAATCTCCAGAAGATTGAGCTCCAAGAGAACCCCCAAAAACAGCTGACTATTGGGCTATATTACATGACTGGGGAATTACAGATGAAGTTTTTTAGCACCCATGTTGCCTGGCCACCCCTCCACCGTAACATGCTACCAAAATAAACCACACCAATACCAACGGGAGTTTTAATGGCCACAGCAGCCACTTTATTAACAAAAATATAAATATAAAAATATAAATAACCAATATAAATAGCAAAAATATACATGAAAAACAACCAACAAAGGAATGATCTTCAATAATTCATTTTATAGTGGCATCTCAAGGTGATTGTAGGTAGCTAAGCCTGTGACCCGTAAAGTAGGCCTCCAGCCGCAACACACTGACTGACTGACAGAGTGTCCGGTACACAGGTACTACCATAAACGTACCAAATTAGGGGAAGCTGTACCCAAAACGGGTCCCATTATATTCACATTCACTACTGCCTACCTTCTAGGACCTTCCACCCAACCAGCTGCCATGACTAACGCCTCCACCCACAAGACTGAAACACCTGAACAGGAACAAAACAAAAAAAGGTAATACAGGGAAGGGAGGGTGAGAAGATTCCCTGATGTCTACTGTCCTCTAACTAAACTCTTCTGGGACCTTCTTGCCTACAACCCTCTGCAGACCCTACCTGGTCCTGTCCGGCCTCAGCAATTAGGTCAGTACCCCCACCTCCTTGCATTCTTTAACCTATTATAACTTCTTCCATGCCCACAATTCCTTTTTAACCCAGTCATGCTGTCCCTCTATCCATGTCTTCTGGTATTTTCCTCCGGGCCTGGCTTTCAAGGAGCCACATTCTTCTAATAATTCTTATCATCCACCTGACCTCCAGCGGTGCTCTATTTAGAAAACTGCTATAACAGAAAGAAAGCTGCAACCCACAATTTCCTTGGTCTGAAGAACTCTCAGTGTAGTTTTTGCTTTACCTACTTCCAAAATTAAGATGTTGTTGGTTTGTGCAATCACAATCCAGCCACTCTCAGTGAAGCTATTTATATAGGGTTCAATAAAAGCATTACACTCTGTGTTAATGGAAAGGGGGACCAGGAGTGGAAAACCTCTCGGTCGCTGCAGCCTGCCATCAGGTAAGAGGTCTACCAAAGTCAAGAAAAGTAATGTACTATCACGTAATGTTAGCACAGACACCCCATGAGCTTTGCCCAGGACCCCATTTTGGTTGAAACCATAAAGGGAGGCTCAAGGCTCAGGAACTAGAAGCCTCATCTTTTACTGGTAGAGCCAAGCTTTGATTATACGTCTGGCTAGCCTATTTTTGGACCGACTGATTATATTTACACGTGGTTTTGAAGGTAAATTCTGTAATTTGTTTTCGTCATACACTCAGTTTGAATGGCACGGGACTGTGACAGGTTTACTTTATCTTGACACTTTTTTGCTTTGCCTATCAAACCAAAGAACCAGAGGACCCGTGTAGATTCAGTTTCTTTGATTGTCACAGGACTAACAGTAACGGACGCCTCAAATGAAGATCGACGTTTGCTTCTTTAAAATGTGTGCAGTAGCATTCTGGTATGTGAGAAGCAAGTCTGTTTAAAATTCAGACACGGTTGCTGATGTTCGCGATCTTCTCCTCCAATCCATTTAAAATTGAATATCTGTCAAAAGTAGATGCTTCAAAAATTAAGAGAAGGGGGAGGATGGAGCTAAAATAAAACTACAGCAAGACTTTTGCTCTTAGAAGAGAGTTACACTTTCCAGCAGTAGAAGATGGAAGTAAGGTCACTTAT